CCCCCCGCTCATCACCATGCCACCTGCCAGCCCCAAATAAATAGATTTAAAAAAATTTTTTTTGGTTTAGGTGTTGGACAACATTTTTGAGTTCCAGACCTGGCGGCTTTCTTTCTTACTTTCTCTATCTCTCTCTGTCGCCATCTGGTCAAATTTTAAAAAATAATAGAGGACCAGTGGGTGATGTGGTGGTTAAGGATGGACACTCCGACATGGCTGACCCTGGTTCAAGTCCTGGACCTGGTGGCTTGCTTTCTCACTTTCTCTGTGTGTGTCTCTCTCTGGTCAAATTAAAATGAACAAATGAATAAATAAAATAAAATAAATAACTCTTTAAAAAATTAATAAATATATAAGTATAAAAATTATTTAAAGAGTTACTGCTCTATTTTGTGTTTAATTATATACATAGAATTCAAACTCCCTATCAAGTTTAATGATAAAGCACTCACATTTAAGTCCAAAACAAAACAAAATGTCCACTATCACTACTTTTGGAAGAACTAAGCAAGAGTTCTTAATTAGATAAGAGAAATGAACGATGGACATCATTGAAATAGAGAAGTCAGGGTTCAGATCCTCTGCATGTGATGTGATTGAGACCTTGAAAATGAGGCAATCAACAAACACCACAACAAAAAAACCAAGTTTATTCTGTAAAATAATTAGGTACAAAATAAATGAATAACAGCCAATAATATACTTTCTTTTTAACAACAAGAACCGTGAGGAATCTAATGAAAAAAGGGTTACTTGGATATTAGCATCTTATTGGCCCGATAGGTTTTAATCTCTGTGAGCTCGGGAAATTCTCTCCCACTGTCTGCGCCCGGGTTTCCTTTGCTATACATGCAGTGTTAATCCCTTACTGGAATAACGTGTGATAGAAACACATTCTTCACATTTCTTTACTTCTTGTGCACATGCTGGACACATTTCCCAGCCTCCCTTGCAATTTGGGATGACCATGTGACTAGTTTCTGGCCAATAACGTGAGCAGAAGTGACATACATGCCACATTGGGACCTGATCTGTTGAAACATCCCCCTGGCGACCTTCTTCAGTATTTCTCCTTCGTCTAGTTCAGATGAAGACTCCACCCTGGATGTTACTGTTGAAGGTGGAAGTAGCCTAGGTCCCTGAATTGTTGCTTAGAGAAATCGCATCCCAGTCAGAAACCTATGTCCGTACCCCAACACTACGAACCTCATTTATTCAGTAAATATGTACTGAGTGCCTGGTTCTAAGCCAGGCTGTGGCAGGCACTGGATCTCACGCCAAGTTCAGTTTCTGATGGACCCGCCATCCCCTCATATGTCTCAGTGATCCGAATCCTGAATTAGTGATACTTCTGCTTGCAAATTTAGAAATAGAAGAATAACATGCTATCCAAATCTATTTGGTCCTTACTTTGGGTTAAAAGTATGGAGAGTTCTGGGACCATCTGATGGCATAATGGTTACGTCGCTGGACTTCCACGTGGTTGACTGTGGTTGGTGTCCCAAAGCCAGTGGCTTCAAACACACCAGGTGCATGTGTGTGCGTGCCCAAAATCCCTAGGGGAGACTGGAGGAGAAGTGATTGTGGCATGGCCATCCTCTCCAGGGACTGATTTATCGCTTTCTGTCTCTCCTTCTTTGTCTTTCTGGTGAGCACACATGTCCTATAGCAAAAATACCTCTTAAAAAAAAAAAGTTATGGGGCCAGAAGGTGCATGGTTGTTAAGGGTGCTGGACTCCCACATGGCTGACCATGGTTTGAGTCCCAGACCTGGCAGCTTGCTTTCTCACTTTTTCTCTCTCTGTCTTTCACTCTGGTCAAATTTAAATAAATAAATAAATAAATAAATAGAGTTTTAAAAAAAAGAGTATGGAGAGTTCTGATATCAGAATTTTTTTTTAAGAATTATTTTATTGGGACCAGCAGATGGCATGGTGGTTAAGGTGCTGGACTCCCACATGGCTGACCACGGTTTGAGTCCCAGACCTGGTGGCTTGTTTTCTCACTTTCCCTCTCTCTCTCCATGCCTCTCTCGACTCAAATAAAATAATAATAATAATAAATTTTTAAAAAAATCATTTTATTTAGGGCTGGCAGTGACTAGGGGCACTGGACTCCCAGATGGCCGACCATGGCTCGAATCCCAGACCTGGTTGCCTGTTTTTTCACTCTCTCTCTCTCTCTTTTGGTCTCTCTCTAATCAAACTGGTAAATGATAATAATAATAAATAAGTTTTTATGTGTTATTATTTATTCTAATAAGTTATTTCATTTAATTTGACCAAAGAGGGACCAAGTGAGAGAGAGAGAGAGAGAGGGAAAGTGAGAAAGCAAGCCGCCAGGTCTGGGATTCATTTCATTCATGGACTCCCACAGTTGGCCATGTGGGAGTCCAGTACCCTTAACCACTACACCACCTGCCAGGCCCCTGATACTGGAACGTTCACATGAACATGTGTCTGAGTCTGTTGAGGCACACAGTTCACTGTAGAGAAGGAGTCTGCACTGACCACTGCCCCTCCTCTGCAAAGCCACCCTGAGGGTCCCACTGCATCATCTCCTTTAGGTGCATCCAAGGAGGAGGACTGTCCCTCACACCTTCACCAGAGGTTATCCATCCTTGAAGGTTCAGATCACTACCATCTCGAAGGTTCTCCAGGACTCAGACCTGGTCACAGCCCTTGAGGAACAACCATTGGATAGAGAGCCAGACTTGGGGAACCAGCAGTTAGCGTAATGGCTAGGTCGCTGGACTCCCACATAGTCGACCGCGGTTCGTGTCCCGGACCCGGTGGCTTAAAACTCACGCCGGGCGCGTGTGCATGCGTGCCCAAGATCCCGAGAGGAGAATGGAGGAGAAGGGATTGCAGCGTGACCATCCCCCCTGGGGGGTGATTTCTCGCTTTCTGTCTCTATGTCTCTCTCTGTCTGTCTGGCGAGCGCACGCGCCCTACAGTGAAAATCTCTCAAAAAAAAAAAAAAAAAAAGAGAGCCAGACTGAGACACCAACATGACAGCACGGCTGGTCCCCTAGAAACTGACAGACACTGAGGAATTTGGCACAGATTTTTTTTTAAATTATTTAAGAGCTTTATTAATAGGTGCTTGCAGTTTGTTAACGTTTTTGAAAAAAAAATCAAGTTGTAAATTTTTATTACAAATTAAAAATGAAAGTCACAGATTTTATTAAACTTCTTTTCCTTTCAAAAGTCCCCAACCACCCTCCCTACCTCAGCAGGAGTTTTCGGTTTTGTCTGTACATACAAGCCCTGGTCAGAGAGAAAAAGTCTGGAGGTTAGAAAGAATCTTGCTAGAGGGCATTGTGCGCTTGCTGGAGAGAGACAGAGAAGGGGAGAGAGAGAGAGAAAGCAAATGAAAAAGCACACCCCCTTCCCCCCCATGAGGAATGATCACGCCGCAATCCCCTTTCCTCCATTCTCCTCTCAGGACTTTGGGCACGCGTGCATATACGCTCGCTGCATTTCTCCGGTTGTCAGGTCCAGGACTCGAACATTTTGAATAGAAAGAAACTGAGACATTAGAGAAATAGGGCCCTGGGAGGAAGCAGGAGGCAGAGTGAGACTGAAAAAAATCAAGACAGAGGAGAGCAGAGGGGCTGCAGTGGGGTCTGGGGGTACCAGCAGACGGAGGTGGGGAGAAACCCTCAGAGGAGGGGAGGCAGGGTGAGGCCCACTTCTCCACTAGGCATGGTGCCCAGGGCTCATGGGAATGTTTTCATTTAACTTCTGTGAAAGCCAGAAGAAAACGAGTGAACGTAACGTTAACGACAATGATGAATGTGTAATAATGAAGCCAACTTGGAAGATGCAGGCACAAAACAGAACTAAAAAAATTATTACAGAGGGGGACCAGCAGATGGCGCAGTGGTTATATTGCTGGACTCCCACATAATCTACTGGGGTTCAAGGCCCGGACCCAGCAGCTTAAAACTCACACCAGGCGTCTGTGTGTGGCCTAAATCCCGAGAGAATGGAGGAGAAGGGATTGCTGCGTGGCCATCTCCCCGGGGTTGATTTCTCTCTTTCTGTCTCTCTGATGAGCACACACACCCTTTGACAAAAATCTCTCATATATTATATATACATATACATACACACATACATATATTACAGAGGAAGGCACGGAAAGCCAGATGTGCTGAGGTCCCAAGGAGGTTGTCAGTGGCCTAGGGTCAGGGATAGAGATGAGCAGACAGAGATGCAAGGTCCCAGAGAGGGAGCTCACACACAGTGGCCCGTCCCAGGAAGTGCCATTTTTGAGGGGCCCAGGTGGACAGTTGGGGACATCAAGGATGACTCACGCAACTACGATGACCACGAAAACGAAGACAGCCAGGGACACGGAGATGCTGCTGCCCACCAGGACCTGGTTCTTCAGGGATGCGGGGCTGCCTGTCCACTGGGGCAGGAGGGAACAGCGCAGCCTGAGTCACGCCCCTTGGACCCCTTCCTTAGCCCGCCAGGGCCCCGCCTTCACTCAGCACCCCCGGGCTTCTCTCTCCCTCCTCCCCACCTGGTCCTGCCCTCTCCTGGGGTCTGAGTCTCCATTTCCTCAGTCCTTCAATGCTGTGTCTGTTTCCATTCTGGGCACCTGATACTGAGCCAGTGAACCAAAGTGGCAAATATCCCGGTGGCCGGGCTACCAGGCAGGTCCAGCCCCACGCTGCTTCTCTCCCGCAGATCCATCTCCTCCCCTGCAGCTCCTCACATGGCCTACAGAGGGTGCTGGTCACACCCCAGGCAGCTCAGGTCCCCTCTCTGTTGCTGGATCTTGTCTCACTCAGAAGAAAAGCCCAAGGGCTCAGCACAGCCCACCACTGCCTGCACCACGTGGGACCCACGTGATCCTACTGCTCTGCTCTCCCTCAGCTCTGGCCACACCGGCCTCCTTGTTGCTGAGTCCTGCTGGGGCTTTGCACATGCTGTTCCCTCTGTCACTCACACCGTTCCTGTCACCACCTCGCTTCCTTCAGATATCAAATCAAAAGTCAGCGCATCCGAGAGCCCTGTGCACCAGCGCACACTCACGGCACTGGCCCCTGCCGAGGCGCTTCCTAGCAGGTTGTTCTGCGTTTATGAGTGCATTTATCGCTATCTGGAAACCGTCCACTTATTTGTTCACGTAATTATCGTCCAACCTCGTGGTTCTCAACCAGGGACAATTTTGACCTCCAGGGGGACATTTGGAAACGTCTGCAGACATTTTCAATGGATGCCACTGGCATCCGGTGGCTCCAGGCTAGGGATGCCTCTGGAAGTCCCACAATGCTCAGGGCAGCCCTCATGACAGAGGACTATGCAGCTCCTAATGTCCACAGTGCCATGATCGCAAACCCCGACGGCGGCCCCTCGCCACAGAACGTGGGCTCTGTGCAGGTAGGAACTACAGCCGCCTCGATCCTGCTGACCCCGGTCTGGGCATTATAGGGCGCTTGGAACAGCTGGCATTAAACACCACGCAAAGGAAGCTGACAGACGGATCCCAAGGTGACCCACCCTGTAGGATACACTCCTTGCAACTAGCCAAGATCATGGAGAAGAAAAAACTGGCTGGAAAAACCCTTCTAAGAGTCAAAAAACGGGGGCAGCAGGTGACATGGTGGATAAGGTGCTGGGGTCCCACATGGCCACCTACGGTTCAAGTCCCAGACCTAGAGGCTTGCTTTCTCACTTTCCCTCTCTCTCCTTTATTTTTATTTAAAATAAAATTAAATAAAAACAATTTATCACAGTCAGCCATGTGGGAGTCCAGCACCCTTTAACCACCATGCCACCTGCTGGACCCGCAAATAATTATTTTTTTCCCCGGCAAATAATAATTTTTTTTGAGAGATTTTCGCTATAGGGCGCGTGCGTTCGCCAGACAGACAGAGAGAGACATTAGAGACAGAAAGCGAGAAATCACCCCCAGGGGGGATGGTCACGCCGCAATCCCTTCTCCTCCATTCTCCTCTCGGGATCTTGGGCACGCACACACATGTGCCCGGCATGAGTTTTAAGTCACCGGGTCCAAGACGCGAACCGCGGTCGACTACGTGAGTCCAGCGACATAGCCATTACGCTAACTGCTGGTTCCCATCAAATAATAATTTTTTTAATCAAAGAATTATTTTTTTATTTAACTTTTTATTTATTATTATTATCATTATTATTTTTCAGTTTGATCAGAGAGAAAAAAAAGAAGAAATCTAACAGATGAATGATGTGAGAGTGGTCTTTTTACTGGAGCCTAGTGTTGAAAATAAGCAGCTGTAGGGACCAGCAGCTGGTGTAATGGCTATGTCGCTGGACTCCCATGTAGTCGACCGCGGTTCGCGTCCCGGACACAGTGACTTAAACTCACGCTGGGCGCGTGTGCGTGTGTGCCCAAGATCCCGAGAGGAGAATGGAAGAAAAGGGATTGCGGCATGGCCATCCCCCCTGGGGGGTGATT